GCACCCCCCCCCCCCCCCCCTCCACTGGCAGAACACAATAGCACTGCAGGAAGAATTCCCAGGCAGTGTTGATGGGGAAATTGAGTGGTTTTCTTTCCTGCAACCCAGGTTGCAGAAAAGAAAATTGCTTAATCTGTGGCCTGCCTAACCAATTCGGCTATGCTCGCCGCGCACTGTCCAGTTGGGCCGTGCACGGCGCGCACTATCCAGTTTGGCCCTGCTCGCCGCGCACTATCCGGTTTGGCCGTGCTCGCCGCGCACTATCCGGTTTGGCCGTGCTCGCCGCGCACTATCCGGTTTGGCCGTGCTCGCCGGGCACTATGCGGGTTGGCCGCGCTCGCCGCGCGCACTATGCGGGTTGGCCGCGCTCGCCGCGCACTATGCGGGTTGGCCGCGCTCGCCGCGCACTATGCGGGTTGGCCGCGCTCGCCGCGCACTATGCGGGTTGGCCGCGCTCGCCGCGCACTATGCGGGTTGGCCGCGCTCGCCGCGCACTATGCGGCTTGGCCGCGCTCGCCGCGCACTATGCGGTTGGCCGCGCTCGCCGCGCACTATGCGGCTTTGGCCGCGCTCGCCGCGCACTATGCGGCGTGGCCGCGCTCGTGGCCGCGCACTATGCGGCGTGGCCGGGCTCGCCGCGCACTATCGGCGTGGCCGCGCTCGCCGCGCACTATCGCGGCGGCGTGGCCGCGCTCGCCGCGCACTACGCGGCGTGGCCGCGCTCGCCGCGCACTACGCGGCGTGGCCGCGCTCGCCGCGCACTACGCGGCGTGGCCGCGCTCGCCGCGCACTACGCGGCTTGGCCGCGCTCGCCGCGCACTACGCGGCTTGGCCGCGCTCGCCGCGCACTATCCGGCTTGGCCGCGCTCGCCGCGCACTATGCGGCTTGGCCGCGCTCGCCGCGCACTATCCGGCTTGGCCCTGCTCGCCGCGCACTATGCGGTTTGGCCCTGCTCGCCGCACACAGTCCTATACTCATAGTTGATCCAGAGGAAGACCAAAAAAAAAACCAATAGCGGTCTATCTAAAGTTGTAACAAGCTGATGGTCCACAGGCTCTACACCATGGACTACATTTTATGAATGGGCTTTGAAATTCAGTCTGCAGTGTGATATCTACTCTCCTTAATCGATGGATTCCATAGTGTTCATTTGCAATATTTTCATGTATTATTTCATAATATATACTGTTTGTGTGTGTGTGTGTGTATGTAAATGTGTGTGTGTGTGTGTATATATAAATTATGTACAGAACCACCATACATTACCCGTAGAACAGGTCCTCTTTAGTGCTGGGCTGGGGGTCAGTGTAGTGCACTAGCAGTGAATTGGCCTGCACCTGATCCTTACTGTTGGGTGGTTGATACATGTTTTCCCTCTCTCTTGTATTATGTATCCTTTACTATACATTGTATGCTGTCTCGTGTATATTATGGCCATGACATGTCAGCGGATCCTCCATCAGTGTGTACACAGTTCAAGGGAGTTGCTGATCTGGAAGCTGCTGGTTCTGGCTGACGCTGGAAAATGTGCTGCTACCAATTCAGCCAGTTGGCAGCCTTGGAGCCCCATCCAGATTACTCAACTCCGGCTGTGACCGGCCTTTAACCCCCTTCATCACCTTTTCCTATAGAGTGACGGCTACAATAGCACCCAGCAACCTGTACTGAGCCTTTAACCCCTTCATTACTTATAGAGGGACTGCTTAGATATCATCAGTCAGTCTGTACGGAGCCTTGAACCCTTTCATCACTGCTTCTACAGAGTGACTGGTATGATGTCCTCCAGCAATCTATACAGGGCCTTTAACCCCTTCGTTACCTACAGAGGAACTGGACTGATTTCATCTGGCAATCTGTACAGGCCCTTTTAACCCTTTTGTCACCTTTTCCTACAGAGGGGTCAATATAATGTCATCTGGCCCTCTGTATGAGGCCTTTTAACCCTTTGCATCACCTCTTCTTATAGAGAAATTGGTGTAGTATCATCTGGTCCTCTGTACAGAGCCTTTAACCATTAAATTGCTGGATAATATGTCAGTCCCTTTGTAAGTAGAGGCAATCTGTACTGAGCCTTTAACCCCTTTGTTACCTCTTCTTATAGTGCAGGGGTGTTAAACTGGCAGCCCTCCAGCTGTTGCGAAACTACAAGTCCCATCATGCCCACATACATTTGGAAGTCATGCTTGTAACTGTCACTTTTGCAATGCCTCATGGGACTTGTAGTTTGGCAACAGCTGGAGGGCCGCCAGTTTGACACCCGTGTTATAGTGGAACTGGTGTATTATCGGGCAATTTGTACTGAAGCTTTAACCCTTCCACCACCTCTTCCTACAAAGGGACTGGTATGATATTGACTAGTGCTCTGTATAGGGCCTTACAGAAGGACTGGTATGATATCCAGCAATCTTTACCAAGCCTTTAACCCCTTCATCTACCCCTCCTACAGAGAAACTTGTAATATTATCCAGTCGTTTGTACTGGACCCTTTAACTCCCCCCACCCCTAATCTCCGCTTCTTACAGAGAAATGGGTTTAAAAAGCCCTCCGGATGCCCCCTTTTAGGATCCGTGAAAATATCCTCTTAGAACATTTTCCTGCCGTGCTAGAAATGTACTGATTTTGAGAGGCTCAGCGCATACTCTTCCACCTTTGTTTTATTGTGTCACGGTGACCTTAACATGGCATGAAATCTTTGGGCTGTAGCCACCACTGATCTAAATTGCTGCCCAAGTGACATAGGCAATGGATGTGTATGCCAGCCATATCCTGTAATGAATGGGGTCGTGAGTCCGTTCTAGCCATTGTCTCAGCCACGTAATCATAGAACAGTAGCAAAAGCGTGCCCATTCCAGAATAGGCAAGGTTGGGGTGCTTTAAACATGGAGATGTGATGGTGAGAGCAGGCGAGGGGAGGATCAGGTTTAGGGGCTTTGGGTGTAATGAGGGATACACTTCCAACAAACTTAGGAGGGAGACAGCACAGGGGAAGGTGGACAGCTGTAACATCCATATATTGTAATATTTTCTGAAATGAGAATCAATAAGAGCTGAATATAACATGGCTAAAAAAAATCCCTCTCATAACGCAATCTTCTAAATACAGCTGATGGTATTATAGGTTTGTAGAGTGTGATTCCATGTGTTACCGTCCTCTCCGCTCTCACAGCTATAACTGGGGTAAAGGTCAGCCGGTGGCTCCAGCTATGGCCAAGTCTCCTCTCTAGGTAGCTGTGACACTGCTTTCCTTATCTTGAACTGTTCAGTTGTTTGCTATGTTACCAATAGATAGATGTCTCACTAGAAATGACCGTATGCAAGATGTTTGTACTTGGAGCTGGCTGGTGAATGCAGCACATATAAGGTGCACACTCTTCCCTTGGTTGTGTTGAGAATTAAAGATGGATTAAGGAAAAATGGGACCCTAGGAAAAGGAGGCAGTTTAGGCCACCCATTCCTTTTGACTAAGACTTAAAAGGACTGCAGTAGGCACAGAGAAATCTCCCCATTTGTATAGTCTGACTGTCATGATCCCAACTGTCTACAGGTCCATCCACCATTATGAAATGACAGCTTAGGTGAGCCATTGTCAACCAGGGTCCCAAGAAACTCCAGAGTTCCTCTGTGGGTTGCCAGGGGTTCCTTGAGCTGTGGCTGATTTATCTCACATTTGATGGTGGCTGCATATTTCTGAGGCCATTGCCACTCTTCAAGGGCACTCTTCCCACTGAACACTAATGTAAGGAGCATTCTTTTCACTGATCACCAATGTAAGGACCATTCTTCACACTGACCACCAATGTAAGGAGCATTCTTTCCACTGACCTTCATTGTAAGGGTTGTTCTTCTCACTGACCACCAATGTAAGGGGCATTCTTCCCACTGACCAATGTAAGGAGCATTCTTCGCACTGATCACCAATGTAAGGAGCATTCTTCCCACTGACCACCAATGTAAGGGACATTCTTCTCATTGACCACCAATGTAAGGAGCATTGTTGCCACTGACAACCAATGTAAGAGACATTCTTCCCACTGATCACCAATGTAAGGAGCATTCTTCCCACTGATCACCAATGTAAGGACCATTCTTCACACTGACCACCAATGTAAGGACCATTCTTCACACTGACCACCAATGTAAGAGACATTCTTCACACTGATCACCAATGTAAGGACCATTCTTCTCACTGACCACCAATGTAAGAGACATTCTTCACACTGATCACCAATGTAAGGACCATTCTTCTCACTGATCACCAATGTAAGGAGCATTCTTCCCACTGATCACCAATGTAAGGAGCATTCTTCCCACTGATCACCAATGTAAGGACCATTCTTCCCACTGACCACCAATGTAAGGGACATTCTTCTCATTGACCACCAATGTAAGGGACATTCTTCTCATTGACCACCAATGTAAGGAGCATTCTTCCCACTGATCACCAATGTAAGGAGCATTCTCCTCACTGACCACCAATGTAAGGAGCATTCTTCCCACTGATCACCAATGTAAGGAGCATTCTTCTCACTGACCACCAATGTAAGGGGCAATCTTCCCACTGACCACCAATGTAAGGGGCAATCTTCCCACTGACCACCAATGTAAGGGGCAATCTTCCCACTGACCACCAATGTAAGGAGCAATCTTCCCACTGACCACCAATGCAAGGGGCATTCCTCCCACTGACCACCAATGTAAGGGGCATTCCTCCCACTGATCACCAATGCAAGGGGCATTCGTCCCACTGACCACCAATGTAAGGGACATTCTTCCCACTGACCCCCAGTGAATGTTTTAGCAGGGTTTCCCCTAGACCTGAAATGTATTTCACTTGTTCCTCTGACTTAGGCCAACTGTGCTATTCCCCATATATGTATTTTATCAGTATATTTAGCTGTTTGTCTGGAGTTCAGTTTTAAAGCAAAGTCCAGTTTCATCCAAAGACTCATGCAAACACCTCAGTAATATAAAAAAACATACATGTGAATTTGTTTTTCAGAGAGATGGTGAGACGCCGATCGCTAAAGGAATCCCTTTTCGCCGGCGAACGCGTCAAACACCCAAAATAAACCCTGACGAATTGCCAGAGAAAGAGGCCAAGCGTATCGCAAGGATATTTGCTGCACAGTTCTCCAACAAGTAGAGTGTCTTTGTCTGTCCTCTGCCATGACACCCCACACTGGATCATTATGTAAACCTGTCATAAGAGGCGTTGGAGTGCCTGAGCGCCTTCTGAGAATGCTACATACCTGGCTGTTATCCTGACACAATCAGAACAAGTATGCAATTTGGGAATGAAGGAGAAGATTGGAAGTCCTTGTCACTGACAAAGTATTGAAGTAATAGAGGCAGCATGACAGCCAAGCAACTAGCGTTCTCAGAAGAAGAGAAAGCAGGCTGTGTTGGTATTGGAAGCCCCAGGATGACGAGTCAGACGTTAAAAATAATTTAGGAAGAGGAGTGAGACTGTTGCTTAACTTCACAACGGTCAGATTGGAAAGCAGAAACCATAATTTCCATGGAGCAAATCTTTTGGAGTCCCTGTTTGATATCTGAAACCAGTGGGGATGCGCTGTGTGTTGCCTTGCCTACATCTACCCAAAACAGATATAACCCCTGGTTCACATATCTGCGGCCTTGCGGGCCATGTTTTGAATTTGAATGGACTCTTGTGCCCTGGGACACGCAGGGAAGAAGTCCCTGCACTTCTTTGGAAACTGCAGGCCGCACAGGAACCGAGGTTCCCAGTAGGGTTGCGATTTCTAGTGCGGGTGGCGTGCCATTAGAATTAATTGCATCGTCTGCAGGTCCCGCATTGCTCTGTGCGGGTGGTGCAGCTGCAGGTATTTTGTGCAGGTTCCACAGCCGCACCACCCACACATATGTGAACCTAGCCTAAATTGTTGACCATCCTAGTTCTGCCTTCACTACGCTAGTGAGTCACCAATCTGAAGCCATATGTAGGATGGAAAATCAGCTTCATTGGATGCATGCTTGTTCCAAATCAGTGGCATCACTAGATAGCAAACCAGTGTTAGGTCCCTGCACCTTTTAAAAACAAAGTCACAACTAGGTACTCCAATATTTCTGTCCTTTCAGCCTACCTGGGAAGCAGACCTTATGTAGGTAAAGTTATTAGATGGAACATAAACTAAGCAGTCTACCATGATGAGATCCTGGCGGTTTTCAGGTCTGGGTCATGTGATCTCACAGCACAGCCCCATGTGCACTGGGGAAGCCAACATCAGCAGATCCTTCTGTTAGTCAGCGAATACAGTGCTGAGATTAGTGGCAAACTGCTGCAGGGCCAGGGGCGCACTAACCATTTGGAAACTCGGGCACTGCCCGAGGGCCCAGCGTCAGTAGGGGGCACCATGAGATGCCCCTGGTACCTTTTTCATAGGCTTTTTTGAGTTTTTTGGGCAAGGTCACAGGGGCCCCATGATCCCCTATTGCCCAGGGGCCCCATGAGTTATCAATCCGCCCCTGTGCAGGGCACATGATCTGATGCCATGTTTGGGGCACACAACCTGGTTCTGCATTTGACCCACATGACCTGCTGTCGCATTTGGGCATGTGGCCTGGTGCCACCTTTGACCTGATTCAGAGTTTGGGCCACCTGACCTGAAAACACAACATTTTTACAGCAACATATAGCGCCATCAATTTACTTAGCGCTTTACATATATATTGTACTTTCACATCAGTCCCTAAACCTCAAGGGGCGTACAATCTAAGGTCCCTAACTCACATTCATACATACACATACTAGGGTCAATGTTGGATAGAAGCTAATTAACCTACCAACATTTCTGAGTCTCCAACTTCCAACAGCCTGGACCACCATTTCCACTCCCACTAAGGGCTCCCTAATTGTTTAAATTGAACCAAAACTTTGAGGTCCACTGGACACCTTTATTTGCAGATCTTGACCTTGTTTCAGACCTGTTCAGTAATGCTCTGTAAACACGATTAGAAAATCAGATGACAAAAATCGGACGGATCGTAAGATAATCTGATCGTTAATACACACTTTGCACAGCCGATCACAACAGTTCAAGCGACAATATCCGAAGGAAAAAGCCCGAGAATGTTTCTTGTACGATAACAAAGTGAACGATTTTTTGTTTAATCAGCACAGTATTTGTCCGAAAAAAAGAGGCCAAGACCATGCATGCTCAGAAATGAAAGATTACATCACTTCTGAAGTTATATTCTGTTGTATGAGAATTTTCATAACTTTAGCAACCTCTTCATTTTTTATATGAGACTAGCATGCAACAAAAAAACGAATGATAAGTCGTCCGATTATCTCATCACGTATACTATGCAATAAGCGAAGGAGCCTTGTCCAGTGTGTGGTCCCCCGGTGTCAGATGCATCCTCTAGTGGTCTGACTTTGGCAGACTGATTGGTCTATGTACGGCTATATTCAATAAGCTGGCTTATTATGATCTTCTTGGACCTGCACTGTGTGATATTGTATATTATGTGTTCTTAATATCTGTATGATAAGTATTTAAATAACATTCTAGCTAAATTATTTTTATATGTTTCTGCACTATTTTATGAAAACTGTGTAACTTATTTTCAGAAAATTTTTTAATAAAATGTTTGTGTACAATAAATAATTTTTTGTTGTTTGTTTTTTTTTTAATTGAATTGGTTTTAGCTGTTTGTAGACAGGGATCTTAAAGCGGAGCTCCACCCAAAAGGGGAAGTTCCGCTTTAAGAACTGCTCCCCCGCTCCCCATTAAGGATTGGCACCTTTGGGGGGCAGGGGAGCGGGTACCCGCATTTGACAGGTATCCGCTCCCACTTCCGGTCCGATCACCTAGACGATCGGAAGCGGGAAGGTGCCCTCCCTGCAGTCTTTTGGGACACGTGACAGGTCCCAGAAGACTACAGGACCATTCATGAAACGCAGCGCTACTCACGCATGCGCAGTGAGTACCCGGCTGTGAAGCCGCAAGCTGTCAGACGGGTGCCCACACCGAAGATGACAGCCTCCTGGAATACAGGACGGCCGGTGAAACGGCTGCGGGGGACACACCGTGGGACCGAGGGACAGGTAAGTGGCTGTTTTTTAAAAGTAAGCAGCTACAGTTTTTGTAGCTGCTGACTTTTATTTTTTGACAGTGTGAGTGGAACTCCGCTTTACAGGATAAGTTTACCTTTTAAATAAAAAAATAAATGCGCATCTTTTTGCAGGTACAAAATGTCAAATTATTAGTTTTCATTTTTTTTTTTTTTGCTAGGAGCCTGCAAAGCATTGCACCCACAATCAGCCGGTGCAATCTCAGGCTCCTGCAGACTTGTCAGTGTATCTGTGTGCTCGCACCTCGTACTGGCAGGCAGATACACACAGATAGGAAGAGAGACAATGATCTACTACAGTACTCAACAGCACTGTGGTAGTTCATTGAGAACTGCAAGCCGACAGCCGCAAAGGCTGTCCGTACTTGTAGTTTCCAATTCAGAGAATTCTGTGAATGAATGACACATCCGTGTGGGCGGAGCATTTTTTTTTTTTTTTTTTTAATAGTGACAACTAGCTGGGGCGAAGATCCCCAACTAGCTGTCACTAGATACAGCAGCTCCAGGAGCGGGCAGCGGCTCCAGAAGCGGGATCATGTTGCATGTTCCGCCCTATAAATGGATGGAACATGTCCCCAAAGGGGAACTTATCCTTTAAATATCTGAAAAAGGTAGAAAAATGATTTAACTTTTTTCAGTTGTGGTTATGACTATGGCTGGGTAAGGCTGAAATAAACCAGGTTTTTAATCTTCTGTACTCTGTTTGTATCTCAATAAAGATATTTTTCTATTTTTGGACAACGCTGGTCAGTGTTGGCATCTGAGGACCATAGTAAACGCATTGACATGATCAGGAAGCCGGTCCAAGGCAATAATACACAGCTGATGCTGGAGTGAATGCATGCAGACAGAAAGTGGCTGAAAGAGTCTGGAGGAGATCAGCAACAGTGAGATTTACTACAAGGATGGATAAAAAGTGAAAATTTTTTATGGGGGAAAAAAAATGCAAGGCAATTGTTTGATACACAGTGCACAGAGCAAACTGCAGCAAACATATTCCAGATAGGGCTCATTTACGTGATTTGGAGCCAATAAAAATTGGGGCACGTTTTTACTGACCCCCACGCTGACCACCCCCTTAAGCTGCAAAGGCAGCCAGACAGGATTATACAAATGCCGTGGCCGTGATGCTTTGCTCCATGGTAAAAATTATACCCCCTGTACCACGGCCAAACGTGACCCATTTCAGAGTGCATCGCCTGGCGTGGTGGTGTGGCCTTCACAGGGCTAAAACAGGCACTGAAGAGGTGACCTATTACCTGTAAACAACTCTGAAAAGTGATATCCTGCAAGTTATGTTCCAAAGAGGTGGAAACTTAGCTTCAGGGTGGCTTCACACTGTCCCCTTTAGCAACAGTGCAGCTAACCCACAGTTTTCGTGCAAGTTAGCTGCACTGTTCTGTAGACTTCTATGAGGACCTGCGGTTTTGGTGTGGTTTCAGAAAACACAACAAAACTCATGAATGCTGCATCTTTGGTGCGCTTTCTGAAACCTCACCAAAATGGCGGGACCTCATAAAAGTCCATGGGAAAGAGCAGCTAATCCGCACAAAAACCGCAGGTTAGCTAAGCTTTTAGCAAAAGCGCAATGGGACACTTTGAAGCCGCCCTTAGGGGGCTACTAGATCTGACCAATCACACAAAAAATTGTGATGGATAATTTTCACCATTTCCTTGATTTTTAATTTCCCTTAAAGTGTAAGCTCACCTTTTAAGAAAAAAGGAAAAGGTGTATGAGCACCTTACACCCACCACTACCACCACCACCACCCAACCCACCACCACCACCACTACCAACACCACCACCACCACTACCAGTCCCTGCTATACTTCCCTTCCGTGAGTGTTGAGCTGTCAGTCAGTTGACAACCAGTGTGGCAGTCCGGGGGTATTTTAAGTCTCCGCTTCTCTCCCTCTTCTTTCTGCAGTACTTCTGGGGCAGATCAGAGCAATTCAGATTGGTGACAGAGAATCTGTAGATACGGAAAGAGCTGGCACATCCACGGAAATATAAATATGCTGGAGGTAGAAATGAATTAGAAGTGT